AATTAACTGAAAAATGTTGCATAGTATGCCTTTAAGTTAAACAAGTTTCATTACAGCTTCTTTGATTTGATTGGTTCATCACCAACATAGGCCAATCAGCTAACCAGTATTTTCACCCCTTCCCAAAATTACTTCAACGGAAGGTTTCCAGATGGATATGCGGAGCAAATCCATCTTGCGGAGTCAGGTTAAGAAACCGTTGCTTTATTTTTTTCAGTGTAATATACTCGGGCAACTTGGCGTTTCTTGTTATTATATTGACATTAATTTTTGCCATCAAAATATCCATATTTTCTTTAATGTCACAAAGGTAATAATGTCTTATCCTGGTTCCAATAACACTTTTGGCTTGAAATTTTGATTTCATTGAGTACCCTATAAAGGGTTAAAGCCCTTCCACATGAAACAGCGTTCCTGTGAGAGGACCTTCTCAGCATGCTTACGTTGAAGAGAGAGATGTCATGAGGCGGCGTGTCAGTTCTGAGCAGGAGTCAAAGGTTTAATTTTTCTGTCAAGGATTACCGGGATTAGCTCCCGCATTGCCTAGCTGGCTAAAAGTCAATCATGTTCTGTACTATTTCTGTAACAGAGTAATCTGATCAGGTGCTTACAGTCAGGTGCTGCTTAAGCGCTCACATGGTACTTTGGTGGATAATGGTTTCCTTTCCATATACAGCACACCCCTAAAATGCTAACATATGGCCGGTGGTTCTTATTACTGTAGTTACACAGCTCATTGCTCGGCACACTAGCTGCAGGTAGAGAGAACACACTCCTCTGTGCGCCCCTGCAGCGAGGTGTCTTTTTCGGTCAATCTAGTTTGTTTAAGTTTGTTCTGAGAATCCTTTACTTATCAGAGGCAGGGTAACTAATAAGTGAATCTGTGCCCATTACAGAGCTTCATGTGCGCTGATTTCTGTTCTGGATATTCAGTGGATTCCATGTATAGATGTAAATGTTACTGCAACAAAATGTTATTTGAGGCATCAGACAGAAACACATGCAAAGAAGTAAAATCAAGCATGACTTCATGTATTTAGTAGAAGCAGAAAGGGTCTCATTTGTTTTCCCACAAGGATTTCATTTTTACAAAATCACTAGAAACTTGCACCCCTAACAATCCTATGAAATGTTTTTTCATATTTTTTTTTTAATAAACAACTTTTGAAGAGCGTTTCTTGGAACTTATTGATTGTAGTTTTGGCTTTTCCCTGGGGTTGTAAACATTAACCTGCCCTGTGAATATAGCCTCTATGGCTTAATATGCACTGTCCGACCTCAGATAAATTAATACGTTCTTATAAGTCTGTCAAAGAACTTAACTCAACTCACTCAACTCAAACTTTATTTATAAAGCATATTTAAAACAACCGGGGTTGACCAAAGTGCTGTACTGGAATCACAGTTAAGGAACATAAGATAAAAGCCAAGGCTAAAACACATAAAGACATAAAAATAGAATAAGATAAATGTTTCAATCAAAATACATTTTAGAATAAAATAAAATTTAAAATAAAATTTTGCCAAATGTCCGCTTAGACATGATAAAAAACTTAATAATTCAGTTGGACATTTTGTCGGACTTAAAAGGGTTATTGAAGGTTCAGATATGATCGACTGAACTGGAGAAATAGGCAGAACATGCTGGTAACAGACTGAACAGGCTGTTAGCAGGCTGTAGAGGGGAAAGATGGCTGAACAGGCTGTTGGCAGGCTGTAGAGGGGAAAGATGGCTGAACAGGCTGTTGGCAGGCTGTAGAGGGGAAAGATGGCTGAACAGGCTGTTGGCAGGCTGTAGAGGGGA